CCACCCGCCCACCCGTCCATCCGTCCGTCCATCCATCTATAAATAAATAAATAAATTTTGAATTTTGAATTTGAATCCATCCATCCATGTGATTTAAAAGACTGAATAGACTCGGCGGTACGAACATGAACAGGGAGGTTATTCCAGGTGCTACGGTTGCAAAGGCCCGGTCACCTCTCGACTTCAGTCGAGACCTGGGTTGAGCTAGGAGCATCTGATTGAACGATCTTTGTGCTCTATTGTGATTGTACAAGTGGAGGAGTTCGGAAAGATAGCTGGGTGCTAAATTATTTAGAATTTTAAAAGCGAACAGAAGAATTTTAAATTGATACGATATTTAACAGGGAGCCAGTGTAAGTTGGCTAAAATTGGAGTGATGTGTTCACAGATTCTTGTACCTGTCAAGAGATGCGCAGCTGCATTCTGAACTACCTGAAGCCGGTAAAGAGACGAGTGTTGGAGGCTCAAGTAGAGGGAGTTACAGTAGTCCAGTCTGGATGTGATAAATGTGTGGATTTGGATTTTGGCTAAATCAAAAGCTTTGCTGTTGCTATAAAGTTAAGTTATAAATAAAAACCCATCATGATGCTATTTTTAAAAGCATCCACCTGGAACCTTTGTGCAGTGTAACAGATATTTTCATCTCGGGGTGTACGAGCGTCTTACGGGTTTCTTGCCGACCACCATCCTCTCCACCGCCTGGACCTGGGACACGTGGTCATCGTTTGTCCTAAGCTCCCACTTCTGGATTCTTCCATAGATCGCCACCAGCAGGTCCCGGGGAATGTCTTGACCATTATCGACACCTGTTGGGATCACAGGTAAGAGTTTGACATGTATCTTTTGTGCAGGCACAATGTTTACTCCTGTTTTATCATCCGGTGCTTCCTTTCCTCAGTTCATCCACATGGCTGGCTGCTGTCTGCGACTGTGATCTCAGTGACTGTCTGTGCCATGCTTAGTCAGATTTGTTCCAGCTGTCGTCAGACAAAAATGTGTCATTCTCTAGAAATCTGACGTTAAGCGTTTTGGCTAAATTGATGAGTCACAGACAGAAACAGCACAAACACCAGCAAAGTTTCACTCTTAGCTTCAGAGCACACTGCAGTGCTGCACCGAGTGTTTCACTCTGGATCTCATCAGTTAAATGACATGAGAATGAACAGCAAACTGCTGTGTTGTTTTAGCCACATGCTAACAGTTAAATAATGCTTCAAGCGGATAAAAAATCCTTTAACATGGAGCGGACATTGTCCACACCAGGAGGTCAAGAGGTTTCAGCCTCTTTCCTAAACTGTAGTTTTACCATTTATTTGTTGCAGGTTTATGAGGTTTCACATGATGACAGCCTGCAGCATTTCTGCTGCTCTCAGACTCAAACACTCATTTGAACATTTTACAGCCCTGCATCGTTTCAGACTGATTATGGGGGCGCTGCTATACGGACCACGCAGGTTCTTGATGAAGTCCTCGAGCTTCATCTTCCTCTCCGGCTTCACGTTGGGGCTGTACATGTCTGTGTTGAGGAGGATGATGGCAAAGGCCAGGATAAAGATGGTGTCTGGATTCTGGAACTGCCGGATCAGCACCGGGTTACAAACGCAGTATCGCTGACTGCAGAGCAAGAGAAAGGGGAGCATCACAAACTGCACAGACGACTCAGCTCGTTGATATTTGATCAAACCCTCCGCGACGCCGTTTAATACCTGAAGGCCTCCACCAGCCGCTCCACCCGCTGGGCTTCACCCTGAACTTTGATCTGAGCTTGGAACTTCCTCAGAGCGTCGTCCAGATCCATCCCTGAGAAATCCATCTCATCCAGGACACAGCTAAAGAAAGAGACAGAAAACGCTGATCATTATCCACAAACGCATTCCTTAAGCCTCGTCTTCACCTACTCCTGACAGCTCAGAAGCCTGTGAAGCAGGAGTCGGGGTTTAATGTGGTCCCTTCAGGTTTAAGGCTGTGTTTCAATACTATGAAGGTAGTTAATGATTCTCTGAGGTACATCACCGCTCATACCGCCTTACCTGGTGCAGAGCATGGTATGTTTAAGATAAGATATGAAACCACTGCCTATTGACCCACCAGTTCTCTGGAAAACAGTGTCAGCATTTCCAGAAGATCCCCCCGAGGTAGCAGGATGTCCTGAAGAGTTAGAGGTTATCTAAAGTCGTCTTTCTCAGTAAATATCAATAAAAAATACAAATCCGTGCATGGATGAATTTATTGGATGGGAGTGAGTCTGAGGAAACGCTGTGATATGATTCAACACAGTGATGTATTACAGGCTTTGTTCATGTTCTCAGTCATTTCTCTCAGACTGTGAGAGCTGCAGCTGAAACGATCTGTAAAAGCAGACTTAAGTCACTGGATACTTTAATTACAGTCAGATCTTTCTGTGCTGTTAATGATAAACACATTCACTGCCAGCTTTCCTCCCTGGCTTTAGATAGACTGCAGCTTTCTTTCTGCTTCACCACCCTGTGAAGGTATGTCTTTCACCCCAGTCAAAGCTAAACTTTCACTGTTTTCAATAATTATCGCTCAGTTAGGACAAGCCTACCTTGTAACCACATAAACGCAGACACCTGTCCACAGTAAAACATTCACTGAAAGGACTTTAACATTTGCACTCACTCAAGGACGTCTTTGTTGAACTGCTGCCGGCTTCCCAGAAACTCTCCGATCATCTGCCTGCTCAGGCCTTTCCTCTCCAGGATGAAGCGGGCGATGCCCACTGGCGTGTCTGACACAAACCCCCTCTCGATCAGGTACTGGATCCCCTTCTCTGGCTTCCTGTAGACCAGAGGAAACACGGCCTCTTAAGTTGTTTGCTCTGGGACTGAAATTCTTTTTATTGGTTGTCTTGTTTTTATTGGTTGCTCCGTTCTACGCTGCTGAGAAGTCTAATATTTTGGCTTTTTAAAATTCTGATACATAAAAAAAACTCCTCTAAACTTAGAAACTTAATTTCAGTAAAACATTCAGAGAGTCCAGAGAATTCTCTGTACACATGGGAGCAGGTTAAAAACCAACACTGGATGGCAGTGCTCTCTTCAGCCCCTCCACACGATCTAACATTTAAAGCTAACATCTAACTTGTTATCAACAACAGTACGGGTAACTTAAACGTCTATGAAGGCATCATTAATGCTGAATGAAACATTCTAACAACACGACTCACTAACTTCCTCAGAGCGTCGTCCAGACACTCTGAGGAAGTTCCAAGCTCACTATGTGTTAACAGACCTCTCTGCATTGAATCATGCTTGTTATTCATCTCTGTCTCTCTTCCACAGCATGTCTTTATCCTGTCCTCCTTCTCTCACCCCAACCAATCACAGCAGATGGCCCCGCCCCTCCCTGAGCCTGGTTCTGCTGGAGGTTTCTTCCTGTTAAAAGGGAGTTTTTCCTTCCCACTGTCGCCAAAGTGCTGCTCATAGGGGCTCATATGACTGTTGGGCTTTTCTCTGCATCTATTATTGTAGGATCTACTGTACAATATAAAGCGCCTTGAGGCGACTGTTGTTGTGATTTGGAGCTGTAGAAATAAAATTAAATTGAATGACACTGCTGCTAACAGTGTGGGTGCTTATCTCTCCACCCCCCTGCTCAGAAATAAGGACACAACCAAGAAGGCTCTGAACTGTTGTCAGACGAAGAAGAGATGGTCTGACACTACATATGGGTTACATATGTTGTTCTGTTTGCTGCAGTATGAGCAGACAGTTTCCTCCATGTTGTACTTTTGTGTCTGACATCAGGTGTTACTGATCTGACTTATGCCTGGATTCTTTGAACTCACAGGAGGCCGATTATTGCTCTGAGTCTTCTGGATTATGTTTGCAGACGTTCTTACTTGTTGAATAAGTTGAGTCCAATGCGGTACTGCCGCCGCTGCACCACGTCGTTGTTGAACGCAGGTGAGTCCCAGCTGTGACGGCTCTCCCTCTGGTAGGTCTGCTTTCCCAGCGCAGCTCCTCCGATTGGCTCCCGGAGGCTGTCGCGGGACGAGGAGCCGGAGCTGCAGTTGTTGACCGTTGTGTCATCGTTGGAGTTGGTGGTGGTGGAGTTGACGCTCTCGTTGTCTCCATCAGAGCAGAGCAGGTGGTGGTGGTGGAGGTGGGGGTGGTGAGCGTGGTGCTGCTGCGCCTCCATGCTTTGGAGCGCAGAGGACGACGAGGACAGCGGCGAGGGCGTCAGCGGTGGCAGGGGGGAGAGAGGTGTGAGGGGCGGTACGGGAGATGGCAGCGGGGAAGAAGGGGGTTCGGGGTAAGCGTGAGGGAGGTGGTGGTGTTGATGGTGCAGGTGGTGGTAGTGGTGCTGGGCGAAGTGGTGAGCGTGCTGCATGTAAGGGCTGCCGCCGTGTCCGTGGTGCATGTGCATCATGTGATGCTGGGTGTACTGAGGGTGGTGGTCGAGGATGGTGGGGAGGTGGGGGATGGGTGAAGGGTGAGGGTGGGGGTGCTGGAGTGGGTGAGGGAGCGGGTGCGAGGGCAGGGTGCGGGCCGAAGGCATCGGCAGGGGGACGTTGGAGGGGCTGCGAGTCTGTCCCTGCGCCGTGGCGACTGAGCGACCGTTGGGTTTGTGTTTGATGGTTCCCTGCGGAGATTCGGCTTCGCTGCTTCCTCCGCCTCCTCCTCCTCGCTCATCTTCTCCGCTTTCACCTTCCACTCCTCCCCCCCTCCTATCCCTCTCCCCACTTCCTCCCCGCTCGACTCCTGACGGCTCCTGTTCGTACACCAGGCGTCCGATAGACCCTCGCTCTGACCTGAAGATGGGAACGATACAATGAATTATGACTGCACATCTTCTAGTCACCTGATTCTAATGGAGCAAAGCGGTAATCATACTGACGGAGGATTGTAAGGATGTGGAATGGAAAAATACAGGCTGCTATATAAAGTAAAACTAGAGGTTGAGCCTATAAACATATGAGTAAAATCACTACATTAGAAACACAGCAGGGTTCAGGCACTTTAATAAAGTCTCACTTTCATTTAGACCTCCTTTAAAAGGTGAACGTAGCTTCCAGGCTTGACGGTGAAGTAGAGCTGGGCGATAGAACGAGAACGATATATTAAACTATTGCGATAGGCCTCACCGCTCTTGTTCTCTTAAAAAACATAAAAAAGAACAGCCAATCCAAATTAAGTAGCGCAGAGCCGAACCAATCACAGCCGCAGCGTCACGTCACGTGGCTTGTTACGTACAGCACAAGTGCCAAGCCGCACATGTGTATTTGTTTGGGAAGCCGCCAGCCGCCGTGCCGCCCGGGTAATGGAGGAAATGAGTGTTCCGACCAGAGGAAAATCAACCGAGAGCGCGACCGAAGGTTACCGAAGAGAAAACAGATGATGGTTCCAACGCCGGAGAGATTGTCGAACGGAAGAGCCATAGAAGTTCCGTAGTGTGAAGGTATTTCGGCTATTTCAAGTCTGACAAAAACAAAGTAGCGTGCACTGTAAATTGTGCCGGAAGCACGTCTGGAAATACAATAAAGCGGTGCATGCTCAGTCTCTGACTGGAAGCGCTAATTCGTCATTCGGCTTTTGTCAGACTAACGTAACTGTTACAACTGTTTGAAAAGCTCAGCTACACAACAAGGACAGATTGAGAATTTCCTTTTAGTTCTCAGTTTATTTGATATTGACAAAAGTTAGTCAGTTTTGTCTGTTCTTCTGTAAAACAAACTAAGATTTATTTTTAGAATTAATAATTGCCTTTTGTGTAGTTTGCAATATTTGCCTTTATTTATCTGAAAAAGTCTCGTGTTCCTTAAGTACATCTACCCTGTTGAACTTATTATGGGAAATAAATATTTAAATCAAAACAAGCTGCTGATTATTTCACATTTTACTTGTGAGCAACGGCACATTTAAATCTTACAAATATAGTTATTTGGCTGATATCGTGATATCGTTATCGCCTGAAATGAAAAAAACATATCGTGATATGAAACAATCTCATATCGCCCAGCTCTACAGTGAATCATTCATTAAAGTTCCTGCAGTGTTTCTAAGGGTCAGCAGTGACGAGCTGGAAGCTCATCTTTTAAATATGGACTTCATGTGTTCATGTGAAGTATTGACTAATTTCAAACGTCTTGCAGGAATTTTGTGTTTTGACCGTGCATGCGGCCTTGTCCTACAGCGCCCCCTGGTGAGGACGCTCGCGTCTGCGTCTGTTTTCATGCAGATTCTGAACGAGTTCATCCAGAAGGCGAAATGAGACGTTTAAGTGCTGCTGACCTGTCGCTCATGTCCACTGAGCTGTCGCTGGGCGGTTCGATGGTCAGGACGGGGAGATGTCCTCCTCCTCCACCCCTGCCTCTGTACTCGCCCCGACACTCTGTGCAGGGGGTGCTGCTCCTCCGGCTCGTGTTGCTGCCTCCCTCCGTCTCCCTGCTGTCTTCTCTCCCCCCTGCACTTCCTCCTCCCCCTCCTCCCCAGTACTCTGTATCAGAGCTGGAGGCGGGACGGGACAGCGGCGAGGAGGGGAGGCAGCCTTCATCCATGTACAGGGTGACATCACTGAAGGAGGTAGCGGTGCTGTCCTCATGCATGGAGGCACCTCCTCCTGCCCCCGCCCTCCCCCCTCCTCCCCCCGTCCGGCCCGCAGCACGTCGGGAAGATGTCGTGCTGTTGCGCCACGCACACTGTCTGTAGTCTTCCTCCTCGTCTTCCTCCTCGTCCTCTTCCCCTTCTTCCTCCTCCTCTTCTTCCTCCTCATCGCCCTCCTCTTCGTCCTCGTCATCGTCCTCCTCTCCATCTCCTCCCGCTTCCTGTGAGTCTTCACGGCCGGACTGGCAGGTGAGGGAGTCGTCCATGGAGTCTGCCAAGGACTTAACCTGCAGTGCACGAACGTAACGTCACGACACAGAAAATACAGAGAAAATATAAAGAGAAAAAATATCCCGAGCTGACGATGAGAAGGTCAGAAGAAGAAAATCGCTGCACAACTCCTGTCAGGAGAAAGACGGCTGTGGAAATCTGCACTCATGTTTCTTTCTGTTTGTTTGACCTTTGCTGAGAGACGGCCAAGAATCTGCCGCAGGATGGGAAGAGACTCCCGGGGATCCGCTCTAATCACTTCTGATTCATTTTCATTTAGCTTCAGGAAACTCTGGGACATCCAGCACTTTATAACAGATATACAAGATATCATCTGAGTTAGGCTGACTTCTTTGTTAGTTTTTAATATAATATACATCTGTGTGTGTGTCTTTGCATAAAAAAGGATAAAATCATGTTTGCAAATCACACTGAGTGCCTCGCCTACGCGGATATTTATTTGTTTGGTTTTAGGCTCAAGGTAACAGTTCCTGCACAATCCAGCGGGCTTTTAATTTGAAACATCTACGCATACAAATATGTTAAGGTCCGCCTATTAGCATTTTCTAAAACTTTGAAACACATCTCCTGTCTCAGAGGACGGAGATTCCTCAGCATCCATTGGTCCCAATCAATGAACATTTACTTCCAAACCTGCACTTCAGTGACTGTTTCAGTGTTAATTGCTGCCCTGACCGCTGGGACAGCAGCTGCTAACAGTCCTGTAGTTGAAAGCTTGTTTGTGGGGCTCCACAGGGATCCTTGTCTGGGCCAATTCATTTTCCAATAATCGCGACTCTTTTAAGACCATCCAGCATTTAGCGGAGATTTTCTCCCTTTTAAACTCAGAATATTCAAACACTTCTAGAGGTTAACTGCTGAAAATAAAGCTTCCCCCAGATTCCTATTGTATTTACTGGCAACCTCTGATTTAGTAGCTTTATAAACCAAACTGAGCAGTTTTGTTTCAGCTTTGGAGAATCTCAAAGACTCAAAGACTTTAATAATCTAGATAGTATTATGTGTGAACTAAAAAATGTACAGATTATGACAAAATGAGTTTATTTTCATTGATCAGCAGCAAGTCGGAGATTACTTTTGAAACTTTACATATTACTTTTAAAAGGTCGGATGGTCCTGAGCTATAACTCAGACCTTTTGAGGACTTAAAAAGAAGCAACTGGACTTCTTTAGGTTCATGAAGGTGTTTTACTCGATAAACTTCACCAAGCAGACACACCTATGGCATCAATTTCAAAATCCTACGTCACCTCGTTGTCAAGTTATTTCATTCACAAGATTTTCAGAAGATTTGACCTCTGAACTCAGGTAGGCCAAGGTTACTTAGATTTGAACTCGTCTAAGAGTTTTAGTAGCTACACCTATGGCATCAATTTGAAGATTCTACGTTGCCTCGTTTTACGTTGCAGCCCCGCCCCGCTCTGTCCACGCAGCCCCCGCCCATCCATCCACCCATCCTTGCAGCTTGGTGGGGTAATAACAATACCCCCACATCCTTTTTTGCCTGAGGAATAATAATTACTATGTATCAACAAACTCTTTTATGAATGAATTATAATTATATTCCTTTATTGTAATAATGCTGTGCACGTTTTGCACATGTGTACTTCAGACCGTGTTCTTTAAACATTTTTCATGACTGTTGAAGATGCTCAAACATCTCTACCTGCTTAGAGAAGGAGTCGTCCACATCTCCGGCGTCCTCTGAGCCCTGCTGACCTGGCGGTCCCTGACCCTGTGGTTGACGCTCATCAAATGAGTACTGCAGCCACCGAAGAAACAACGCATTATTAGAACAAACCGAGCAGAACCTGGTGTGTTTCATTATGTGCTTTTTTACAGGTGTGTGTGAGAGTGTGTGTACCTGCATCCTCATGTTGGACAGGATGATGCGGCGGGTCATCCTGCTCTCTGAGGCGGAGCTGCGAAGCCTCTCAAAGTTCTTGTTCATGCGATACTGCCTGAACGCCGTCTGGATCGTCTTCGCTGCCCGCCGGGACACGAACGGGCCCCCGTACTTCCTCTCAAGCATCTCCACCTATCAGGCCGTACGATCACGCAACCAAACAGAGAGGGAAGAGCAGAAACGATCTTTGCATTTACAGGAAACAAAACAGCAGAAACTTTCAGCGAACCTTTGTGATGTTGCGTGTTACGATGTGTGTAGTTTTGTGTTTTTAGTGAGTAAACCGAAAATTATTACACCGCTCGGCACATCTGACCGTTCCTAAACTGCAGTGGAAACAAAAGGAGCACGGACCAATAAGGAGGTTTGTTAAATGACGCCTCGTGCCTCCAAAGGCAGCTCTGCTCCTTAGCTGCTAACATTTCTAACTATATACCTTTACTTTTGCTTCATTTGAAAGTAAATACATATTATTTCACTAATTTTTCTCTTCCCTATGTAAACCTCCTTATTGGTCCATGCTCCACGTTGCTGTGTCTCTGCCTCTGTGTGCATTACGGATAAAAGGAAGGGCAGAAAATAAAGGTGTCCTGATGTGTCCTCTACCCTGCGGGTGATTGAAAAGGCTGCTTTGTAATGGAGGCGATTACATGGAAAACCTCTCACAGGAACCGCTCCAGTGGTGTTTTTAGAGGTGTTACTTATGAGGCCGACTTGTTGTGGCATTGTACCTTCTTGTCCTGGAGGTCTGTAGAGAGCTCATAGCTGTCAGATAGAGCCTTGCAGCGTTTGCTCTCCTCCTCCTCTTGCTTGCGGAGCGCCAGGCTGGCTGGCTGGTGTCGGCTGCGCTGAGCCCAGGCGAGGCTCGCTGGGCTGGGGGGCGAGATGGGTGAGCTGCCCTGGAAGAGGACATGATGAGAAGACATGTAATCAGATTTACTTCTGCTTTTATTTATTCAGGGTAACTTCAGGGAGACAGTACACATAATCCACTGATACAGGTTTTACTGTCAGACTGTTAATTTGGTCAAAAAAAAAAAAGTAAATGGTTTAGTTTAATTATCTCTCAGCCGAACGTTGGATTAAAAAAGAGATCAATGTGTTTAATTTATTCATTGGAATAATTTGATCCACGGTTTGAGCTCTGGACCTCTGTCATACAGCATCAACATCTGTTCCCCTGCCCCGGTGACCCACGAGATATCGCTGCTGTTTCAACCATGTTTGCTGGTTTAGATCAACTTTGTGTTCATTTGAAGCGAGCCCTTCCACCTTAAATGTCCCACTACAGCAGAACGGGGCCACCGAGCTCTTCACAGAGGGGATTAGGATTTTTACAAATGTGGCTGAAGGCGACACCTCCTTTCATAAGCTTCAGAATAAACTTCAGACACCTTTAGTAGCTGCAGATAGACGGTGCATGTGTTTTAGGGTTGGTACCTGTGTATGTGTGTGGGAGGCTCCCAGGGGCCCACCGGAGGAGGGAGAGCCGTAGGGGTCACAGGGGCTGGAGAGGGGGCTGTTGCTATAGCGATGGAAGGGAGGTGGATGGCCAAAGGATGAATCAGAAAAGGTGAGTGCCTCTGGACACTGAGAGTCGCCCTCCACACTGCGAGGAAAGAGACAAAAACACGAGGAGAACGAGAGGACGGGTTATCCATCTGCAGATGCTGCTGATTTCAGGTGAAATCACGCTGAAATAATGAAACAGAAGGTGGGAGAGAAGCTGTGGGATGCAGAGAAGCAGGAGGAAAGTTGATCCAAACAACTGAGAACAGAATCAGGACGGCAAGAAGGCGGAAGAATGGACTTAAAGAAAAGGAAAAGAAGAAAGGAAATCTGTGGGACAGATGGTGAGGTGGGGAGGAAGAGAAGGGAAAGGAAGGAAAGGAGGTTAAAGAGCAAACTGGAAGAAAGGGAAAAGAGAAAGATGAATAGATTCAGATAAAATAGCTGCACACTGACTAAACCGGACAAACTGACAGAACAAACCACACTTTACCAGAGTGTCCATCCTCATCATCCCTCTGTTCAGAATATCCACCTCCAAAAATCAAACCACAAAACTGGACCTTACATAAAAACAAACTAAACACATCAAAAGGGTCAAATTAAACCCTTTGAACAGAGTCAATCAGCTGGATCAGCAAGACTAAGTCAGATAAATACAAACTGAATGAAAAAGACCAAAACTGTAGCAAACTCCAATAAAGCAAACCACAAAAGAATGTTACTGACATTTATTAAATGGCCTAATCACAGTTACAACCCAAACACAGTGGAACAAAAGTTCAACTGCACCTAACTGGGTCTAAGCTTGAAGAAACCCAGCAAAACCATCCATCCATCCATCCATCCGTCCATCCATCCGTCCATCCATCCGTCCATCCGTCCATCCATCCGTCCATCCATC